TTATAAAATTAATTTAAAAAAATATTAATAATTTATAAAAGTAAATCAGAAGAGAATTTATAGTAAATAAGCCTGCAAAACCCTACGATTTAAGGGATAATGTTTGGAGTATTAAGAACTCAGTTTTTAATTTAAATAGTATCTGTGAATATTATATAAGGAATCAGATATCATATTAAAGATCTACTATGTGTGAAAATGCAAAAATAAGGTTATTTATTCTTTATATTATTAATTTAAAATTTTTTATTTAATTTAACTTTAATAAACAATATTTAATTTTTCTATATTAAAAAAAAAAAAATAAAATATTTTCTTTAAAATAAAGATTTTTAATTTTCAGATCACTATTGAATACCTGGATTTAATCAATTAAGTTGTTATAATACTATAATACCCAGATTCTAATCATGAAGGTATTATTTTTAGGGGATATTGTATGCAGTGATAAAACGGTAACATCTACCTGTCAAAATCTACATTTACAAATTATAAAAAAAGTCAGAGCTTATTTGCTAAGCTTTATTGATAAATATGGGACTTATGCTCCTAGAAGACTATGATGCTAAACCGAATAAAGCGATCAATTTGTCTAAAATAAAAGAATTTTTTACCTTATAAAAATTATAATATCTTATATTTATGGGTTTTGTAGTTAGTCACGTGCTCAGTTAATAATTCTCCATATAAGTTCTGATTTCAAATGTTAAATGAAGAATGCCCATTCTTTTGACAAACATAGGATTACCAAATTATTAACGTTATTTACCTGAAAAACCGACCTTCATGACAAGTTTGGTTATATTGGTCAAAAGAGAAAGAAAACAATAGACAAAAAAAAAATTTATTTCTTATAGATCTAATCCACTTCGGTAATTTGGATAATGGGAACACTTTTTTAGTGCGGATTCCAAAATTCGATTAGCATACATTCATGCAACATGTGACGTTCCTGGATTAATAAATACTGGAAAAAAAATTTTTTTTTCCTCCAAAATGAATTACTCAAATCTACTTAAAAATCTTTCAAAGATAGCTCGTCCATTTATTAATAATAAATTCATAGCTCCATCCCCCTCACACATTAGTAAAACATTAATTAATCCAGCAACAGAAGAGCCCCTTATTCAGGTCGTAGAAGGAATTCCAAGTGATGTTGATTTGGCCGTTCAAGTTGCGACTGATGCTTTGCATTCATGGAGTTCATCAAATGGTGCCGATAGAAGAAATATTTTATTAAAAATAGCTGACGGAATCGATAAATATTCGGAAAATCTTGCTTTAATTGAATCTTTGAATGTTGGTAAACCTATAAAAGATGCTAAACTTGATGTATCCGAATCCGCTGAATGTTTTAGGTAATGGTATTATTTATCTGAAGCTTATCTCTCTCAAACACACTCTCTTTAATTCACACGCTCAGCGATAGATTCTTTGCAGGATATGCAGATAAATTGGCCGGGCATAATTTTTGCGTAAACGATAAATATAGGACTTTCACGATTAGGGAGCCAGTTGGAGTATGTGGGTTGATAACAAGTTTTAATTATCCTTTGTCAATAGCATCGTGGAAATTAGCACCTAGCTTAGCTTGTGGAAATACGGTTATACTTAAACCGGCACCACAAACTCCATTGACTACCTTGATGTTGGCAGAAATCATTTCCTCTAAAACGGAACTACCACCAGGTGTACTTAATGTGATACCAGGTGATGAAAAGGTAGGGGAAAGGATTACGGAACATGAAGGAATTGATAAATGTAGTTTTACGGGATCAATACAAGTTGGTAGAAAGATTCTTTCTGCTGCTTCCTCAAGTAACTTAAAGAGAATTACACTTGAGTTGGGAGGGAAAAATGCGATGATCGTTTTTTCCGATGTTGATGTAGATAAAGTGGTTGATGATGTTTATTGGGCTTCATTTTTAAATTCGGGACAAAATTGTTGTGCTGGGTCAAGATTATTTTTAGAAAAAAGTATTCACAATGTATTCATTGATAAATTACGAAAAAGGATAGGACAAACTAAAATTGGTAACCCATTAAGTGAAAAAGTTGATTTTGGTCCTTTGATTGATAATACACAATTTCAAAGAATGCTAAGGGTTTTAAAAGATACAACTTCCGGATTGAAAGATGGAAAATTATTAATAGGTGGGAATAGAGTTGGGGATGTTGGTTTTTTTATTGAACCAACTGTATTTTATAATATTGAGGATTCGGAAATTATTTCCCAAGAAGAAATATTTGGTCCTTTATTAACCATATTAAAACCTTTTGATACAATTGAAGAAGTTATCCATAGGGCAAATAATACTAAATTTGGTCTATCTGTTGGCATTTGGACAAATAACTATTCAAAGGCTGAAAAGGCTATAAAGGAAATGAAAGTTGGCACTGCTTGGATAAATTGTTATAATTTATCTCCTAATTATCTACCCTTTGGTGGTAGAAAATCTAGTGGTTTCGGCAAAGATTTGGGAGAAGAGTCTATTGACGAATTTAGTTTTATAAAATCAGCCACCTTTGCTTTATAATGTTAATATTAGTTAATATATACGCTTTAAATCTTGCAAAACCAAATTTTTTATTTATAAAATAAAATTGAGAAAATAAAATTTTTTAAATCATCGTGAAGAACGTTGCCTTCTTCCATAATTATTATTATTATTCTTATTCGGCTTATTTTGCGGTTTTATTTTCTGTAAAGAAATTCGTAAGATTAACATCAAGACCATTTTGAATCAAAGAAATGAAATATCAAATATGTGTAATGCATACCTTGAATTCATTAACGATGAAGTCATAAGTATAATTTATATTAGATACCGATAAGCAAGTAGGAAAAGATTTATTAATGACTTCTTCATTAATGTTATTATCCCATAAACCTAGATCAAAATCCAAGAAATACAAGTTTATATTTAACTTTTCTATATTAGTATCGTCAATCAACAAGAATCTATAAACAAATCGTTTTAAAGCAATAGCAAATGATTTAGCAGGAATGAGTTGATCGTTTTGACCAAAACTAACACCATTAATGATCGAATCCTTCATTTTTTGTGTCAATGGCATTTTATATTTATAATTAATATTATCTTTATCAATTAATGAATTAGAAACTTGTTCTTCAATTAATTCATATAATGTTATGATATGTTTTAGAGAGAATTCTTCAAATACGTTAATGAAGGTTTGATCCAAACTAGATAATTTCGTTAATTCCGCCAATTTCAACCATTGGTCAATGAAATTTAAAATGACTATATCATTATTATTAATCGACAATTCTTTTATGAAACCAAAGATTATTTCGAAAAGGAAAGATAATTCGGATAATTTGGTTGAGTCCAATGAATTATCCAAAATCATAGTACTCGTTGATTGAAATAATTGTAAAACTATTGACAATTTATCTTTTGGAATTTCCTCTTGTGGCAATAAATTTTTGATATCAAATAGTATTCTTGGAAAGTTATAAAATAATTCATGTTTGAATGAAAAATTTTTCAAATAAAATTGATTATCTTCCTCTACAAAATAAACTTTGTTAAGAACCAGTTCTCTAACAAGTATCATTTCAATCTTTTGCAAGTCAAACGTGAAACCTAATTTCTTCGATTCAAAGTTTCGTTGACGATGCTTCAAAATCTTTTCATCCCATTCATAATTTATAAAATTGATTTCTCGTGCTTGAGCCACCTTTGTAGATTTGATATGATAGATTTTGGAGGTAACATTATTATTGTTGTTCCATGATCGTTCCAAGAATTTAAGACCTTTGCATTGCCCGACTGGAAGGGTTAAAATTTCATCCAAGAATTCATTGTGTAACTTGACTAAGAACTCCAAAATCGCACACAGATACGTTCCCGTGTCTTTTTGTACTACTAGACCATAAATAACAGGAAGGTCAAGTCTCATATATGGTTCATCGAATTCATTGGAAGGTTTTGATTTTTGCGAACTTGGCCATTTGGGCAATTCTTTGGATCGATAATGACTAACATAACCTATGACAGAATTCCAACCAAAAGCAAATTCTTTGAATATTACTCTTAAATAATTTTCCTTATTGGTATCTTCATCTGCGAATCTCTTGATAAATTTATTAAATGTCAAGGTTAGAGCCTTTTTCCTAGTTAGACCATACTCAAGATTTGAGTTCAAGATCTTTACGAATCTAACTATTGGGTAAAGATGCTTGATGAGTCTTAATTTCTCATAATTATTAAAGTATACTGATAGGAAAGGATATTTATCTAAACTTTGGCCAAAGTTGCAATCGTAAAAAGAATAAAAATCTTCAAAAACCGCTTTCTTTGTAGATTGCCAGAGTCTCGGAAGATAGGTTGTTTCCTTGTCTGTATCATCTTCAATCCACGGGAATTCATTTTTTAATTGGTCGGTATGATTTATTTCTATTAAAAAATAGGATTTCAAAGACTGGATAAATGATTGATTGTTTTTCATGCAATCATTAATCTCTTTGACTAATGAACTAGATAAGGAATTGTTTTCTCGCAAATAATCCTCCCAGAATTTATGTACGAATTCCTTTAGAAATGCTATAGAAGTTATTTGTTGCAGTGCGGATAATTGTTGCAATGCCAGGTCTCCATGTTTCAGAAAAGGTTCAACTGAATGCTTGAAAAAAGGTCTTAACTTTGCTAATTCAAATTCCTTAAAAATCGATTGAATGGTTTCACAGCAAATTTCTACTACAGTTGTATTAATATCAAGACAATTTTCAATAACTTGCAACCTTACGGAGTGTCGTAAGGCTTGCTCGGGATTCTTAATTAGCGTCAAAAATACTCCATCCTCCTCTTGATTTTCGGTAGCTAGTATTTCCTCGATTATTACACTAACGAATTTAAAATGTTCTCGCGAAAATAATTTATTGTAAAGAATTATTCGGACATCCGATTCTAAAGGAATAATCTCAAGACATCTCGTAATAAAAGATCTAACATGAATCAAATCATCCTCCTCCTCTATGTGATCAAAAACCAATTCAATGATTTCTGGTGTAATAAATTCTTGATTATGGACGGATTTTCTAATCTCTTTGATTTTCTCTGATGGAATCGAATTGATTTTTAATAAATCATTACATACAAGTAGTAAAGGAAGGTTCGTCATATTAGTTGTATCATTCATTCTTTCAACTAGAGACAAAATTATATCCAGATCTTGCTCATATTCCTCCTCATCACTTATTTTCTGTAATAAAAAATTAATTGCTTGTATGAAAAGGCTTTGTTCAAGTTTATCATGATCAATCGACCCTTCTAGTTGAACTTTTGTGATAATAGATGGAAACGTTTCGACTAATTGTAATAGGATCCAAATGTTATCCGCATATTTCCACCAATAAATATGAAGGAAGAATGGGCTATCAACTATTTCGTCATGAGTTAGATGAATAAATATGAAATCTAATTCTTTCTTGATATTTAATTTTCTAGTAGAATATGATGATAGTACGATTTTCATAAAATCATTATAATATAATTTTGAATGTACTTGCAAGTATTCAAAATACCGTTTCATGGTAAACAAATTATTCACAAATTCCTTGGTATGATCATCGATCAATTGTTCGCACAGCTCTCCAGTTTCCTCATTAATGTTTTCTAAATCTTGCCTTAATAAGTCCAACTCTTCATCATAATGAACTTTATAGTAATTAACTTGATTCATAAAATAATATGAAAAGGGAAATTCAAGTTCAACAACCTTTGGGCACGCCATGATAAAACTGGAAGGTTTTGGTTCGGGTAAATTATCAATATTGACAATTGTATTGTCCATGAAGAAAATTTTCCATAAATTAGATAATTCTTCTTTCGTTTCGGATTTCCCATTTTCAATAGTGAAAAATGTCGTCGTTGCTGAAAATTTTTCAAGTGAATAAATGATTTTGGCAATCGTTTGTTTAACGGCCACCTTTACAAAATCCTGTAAGGCTAGCGAAAAACACGTAAATCGGCTTAAGTAATCATCGTCAAAAGCCACTTCGGAATTCCAATCTTTATAATTCGTAGAAATCCAATCAAAGGCTTTTGTCTTGATGCATTGAATGAAATCTGCACTATTTAAAATTTCATTGTTCAACATGCTATAAAATAATTATTAAAAATAATGTTAAATTTCACAAGAATAGGGTTATACTATTTAATACAAGATTCTCCCACCTTATATGATCTTGATAACTTTCATTGGAAAGTTGATAGTTTATGCACGATAGGCACCATAATAATTCGTCCTTTAACAACTTTTCAAATGGCGCATCGGAACCAATTATCTTGTCAAAAAGTTTTGAATTTATTATATCGTAAATAGATTTATCCAAAAGGTCTAGTAATGGGATGTTTTGCCGTTCCAAAGATTCAATTGTGATTTTGTTCCAGCCACAAATAAAATTGGATAATGTTTGACCATTCCGTTGAATATGAAATATTATGCACACATGCTTTATATGTTTGGTCTTTGTTTGAAAATTTTCTATACCGAATTCATTCCGGCATTGTTCAATAATGTATTTTGTCAAATTAATATATCCCGCATTGATGACCCTGGTATCACATTGAAGGAATAGTATTTGATCATTTGATTTGAAAAAGAAATCTCTTACTATATTTGAAAGTTGAGCTTCGGTCTTGAAAATCGATAATTTATACACTTGACAACTTATATCACGCAAACAAGACTTAACATCCGTATTCATACTAGAGAAAGTATTGATAATTACTAAACGTAAGTTGAGTAAAATGTTTGTTTGATCTAATAATAACTGTTCAAAATAATCAAGGAGGGAATCATGACGCTGTTGTTGAAAATAGTAAAATCTCAACATTTTGATTTCTTCCGGAGTCAAAGCTGATTGTTCGGCTCTCACAATCCCATCCGATGTTATCACCGCCGTTAAACGTTTCTTGCATTTTTCTAAAATATTTTTATCATCAGCATCAGGACAATACTTTGTAAGATCTAAAACTAAACTCTGTAAATTTTCATCATCATCAATGCCAATGAAAAGATTCTTTTGCGTAGATCGGTCATGTAATCGAATCGATGAATCATCTTTAAAAGTGGATAGTCGTCTTGTCCAACTTTTTAATTGCCGAACAAGTGATTGTTGTCTATCGATAAGAACATCACCAATAGTTAATCTTTGTTTTTCGAATCGATTGAGAAGTGATTGATTAGCTGAAGTTAATTTCTTCTCATCCATGACAAGAATGCACTTGAATTCTGACGAAACGTGCCTGTAATCATAAAATTCAATAATTAATCAATCAGAGTAAGAAATAATTTCCCTTCAAAAAAAAGTAACTTACAGAATACGATTGGCACAGGTTCCAAGTGCAACATTCGTCACTTTTTCGCTGCCGATCACGATATAATCCCGATTCCATAAATCATAAAGACTTGCTATGAAAATATAATAATTTATTTGAGGTAAATTTATAAAAAATTAAAAAAATTAAAAAAAAATTACCATAGATATTATCCAAATCTGTAAGAATCAACGGTCTGCCTGTTTTTACACACATCTAAAAAGGTAAAAAAAAAAAAAAAGGATATAAATAAATACTTAAAACAATAAAAAAAGAAAAGAAAAGAAACTACTTACCATAATTCTGCTTAAAACCTTACAAGAATAATCGTCACGATCATCAGGAAATTGTGACCCAATTATCACAACAGGATTCAAATGACTATATAGATCCATCAATAAACTTATAATTGACTCGTTTTTACCAACGACCATTAAATGTCGCGCACTAGGATCATTCAAGTTTGATTCGATAAGTTGTGTTATCGGTATTGGCTTATGTGACCATGGATTTTGAAATATTTCAAGAACATCTCCGAAATATTTTTCATATAATTCGGGATTATCTTCTGTTCCCCCAAAATTACGAGCCAATGCCATTTGAAATTTTTCGGGTGTCAATCCGGATACTTTAAGTAATGCATAATAATCTCGAATACCATGGAAGTTAGGCAAAGTTTGACCATTTCGTTCATAATCCGAATATGCTTTGGCCAAAGTTTCAATAACGCTCATTTGATTAGGTTCAATAACCTTGGTACCCAAGAAATGGTTGGTTGCATCAACCAAATCGGCAAAGTCGAATCGAGGTCTAAACGTATGATTTAAAATGATTAATGCAAGTAAATAATGAAATTTTTTTTACGCAAAATAGAAAAAATAGCTTTTGATTTTACATTTGTACTAGTAACGCTCGACTGCTTTTACTGATATCCAAGCGCCAATTGGACATTCCGATAAACGAAACATTTGGCTCATTCTCCGGCTCGAGCATCGAATGAAGCACTTTTAATGGATTCGAACGATTTATTTCAGCATATCCAACTTACAGAATAAATATGATAAGTATATATATATATATTAAATTTAATTAGAAAAGAATATAATAATTACCATTATTAAGTAAAACTACACTAATGATGGGATATTGATCGGTGTTTGTTTCTTGATATTTATTTGCTTTTTCAAAAACATTAATAATTCCGTCGGATGTCGAACTTGAAGAACATAGGTATGAAACAATATGAACCTAATGTCAAATAAAAATTTATTTTATTAAAATAAAATTTTTATTATCAATACATATTACCTACCATTTTCGCACATACCTTTGGTAAAGTCTTAAAGTAATCATCACTTGATTCGGGCCCGCGTAAATTTGAACTTATTAGACGAACAGCTAAAGATTTAGATAATCTTTAAAGAAATAAAATAATAATAATTTAGTAATGTCAGGTAATTAACCAAACCAATTTGTTATTTCTTTTAGTACATACCCCGTTTCTCCGATAACAAATACAGGAATTTTAGTCAAAATACAAACGATTAAAACCAAAATATTTTCTAATAAAACTTCAATCTTTGCTACATTAGGAGGGCATCGCATCCTGCTAAAGTAATATTCCTGTTCTTCACGAATAATTTTAATAAATATTTCCTCCCCTACTTTAATATCATGAGTTTGAAATATTTGCCCCATTTCGTAACAATACTTTTTGCGTAATTCGTGCTCATATAATCGAGAATGATAACAAAGGCCAAGCGCCAAAACGTAAGATCTAATCCTTATGGTTGGACTTCCAGACGGAAATCTACGTCCAAAACCCGAACTTTTCTCAAGGGAATCATAAAAGAAGTTCGCCAACTTTATAACTCGCTTGACATCACGCAAACTAACGCTGTATGGTTCCTTAACTTTACGAATGAATGTCTGGGAAGCGTAAATGAGCTCGGAAAATATGGAATCGCTCGATTTTTTTAATTCTTTTTCAACCATAATCTGAATATACTCATATTCATCTCTTGGATTTAGAATGCTATAATCCCATGCGTAGTCCAAAATTTGATCAGGAAGTGGTTTAACCTGATAAACAAGGTTACTTTGTTCTTCATATTTTTTATCCGTTGCTCTTGCACTAAGACGGTATGGATTGCAAGTAGAAAATAAACGAATATTTGGGTGTATAGGTCTACCTTGAAACATTCTGTTAGATATCAAATCTGCGAGTATACCTAAGCAACTGCATGTGTTGATTTCATCAAATAATATCCAAACTTCGCCTTCTTTGGCCTTACTCAAAGCGTCCGACATAAATCTTGTAATAGTTTCTTCATCAATTCCAGCATGAAGATTAAGCGCTTGAAATTGAACTTCGGTCGATTTTGCTAAATACGTAATTAAACTCGTCTAAATAAAAAATGAAAAAAAAAAAGATTATGAAAATGAATTATTATTTAAAAATCTAAAAAAATAAAGTCATAAAAATTTACCTTGCCACATCCCGCTTCACCGCAAATTACTATTGGAATGTTCACGCGAACTCTTAAAAGAATCAGCGCCATCTTTATCAGATTATCACTAGTCAAGATATATTCTGACGGATTTAATTTTTGCGTTGACGTACGAGCCATTCCTTCCAGTTTCATCAAGAGTGAACTCGCGGACATTTTATCATAATCATCTATTTTCCAATTTTTTGGATTACCAATTGCTTGACCCTTTAATAATAATTTAATGTTATCAGGAATTTTAGTCTTATCATTATATAATACATAACAGAAATCCGATGTTTGATTGGGAAATATTGTAAGATAATTTAAATCATCCCATTGATCAATTCTAACACTATACGAAGACTCATCTTCAGCCGTTATAGGTTCTAATTGCGCTGCCTTTATCTTGATGGATTTAATTGCAAAATCTTTTGAAACTTGTATCAATGATTTCAGTATCGTTGACCTGATATTATCTTCTTTTGTCGTTAATTTAAGATTGTCAATCATAAAATATTGACATGAAGACAGTCTAATTAATTGATCAGCTAGAACATTAACGAAGATTTCTAAATATCTAAATGATAATACGCTTTTATCATTTGTGTTCAAAAAATATTTCATGATAAGGTTTTGACAAAGGTCGGTAGATAAAGGATGAGGGACGGCTTTTAATATATTAAAGGTGACTTCTTTTACATCAATCTCTCCATCATATAAACTCAAATAATGACATACGATTTGAATCGGGCTTGTTGTTTCTTGCGATACTTTAAAATTTTCAATGTTCCAAGATAAATGCTCAAACGGTAAAAATCTCAACACAGAAAGACAATTAAGCAGTTGCTGTTTTATCGATGAAGAAATTTCAATATAAATGAAGGTTTCGGGAATCGAAACAGTCATTTTATGATACGAAACCATTCTAAATGTCAATAATTCAAATAAAAATTGATTCACGTCTTCAGGGTGATCAACAGATAAGATGTTAATATGTAGACTTTCAACACACTTGAGTTTGCATTCTTCAAGCTTATTTACGAGACACCTAAGATCCATGCCATCGTTAATCAAGAAAAGGTGCGGAAGTTTTTGTTTAGAAAAGCTAGATTCCTTGATCCATTCGGTCTTTCCTTGACCAGATAAATCTGAAGAAACACATAATATATTTGGACAAAATTCTTGATAAATTTCTTGCATGATTTCGACAGACAACATATCAATCTTTTTAATCCTTAAAGAATATTGATCTAAAATATAATTAGGCATTTCTAATTCTTGACAACACAGGAGTGCTAATGAAAATTTTTCATCTGACTCTTCCAATTGCATTTCTCTAATATAATTTACAAGATTATATTGAAATTCAAAAGTTAATAATTCCAAATTGATTATACAGAATAGATGATTACTATATCCATTATCTACGGCAAGGAAGCTTCTGTTAATGAACATTTTAAGCTCATCCGCAGTAGTTGAGGAAGTACATGACAAGATTTGCCATGGTTCGGGATAATATCCATTCTTAGAATACAGAGACATTATTGCATTTGGAATTAATAATCTGTCCTTATAGTTTACAACAAATAATTTACCGCTCGAGATCTCTTCTTGTCGAATGACTTCGAGCTTACGCGCTGATTTTGAAACATTTCTAAAAATAATATCTAGTTCATAACCAATCTCACAAAGTATCTCAAGAGGATCAGATTCACATGATATTTTTACATTCCCATGCGACGGTAATTGTGCATTACTATTTACAAATCTAATCAGCGTTTGGCACATTTCTGCGTTCTTCTCGTCTAATTGTTCTGATGTGAAATAATCGTAAAATGAAAAAATCTGATAACCAGTGAAGAATGTCAAATAATAGCATCGTTTTTGAGCCTGAGTCAGAGTGTCTTCCCTATATAAAATCAACGATGGTTCATTATTCCGAGGGTAAAATGCGAAAAGAATAAATATAGATATTCGATCGATACTCACCATTTTTCTAAATCATTATATAACTCAGTAAGAAATTTTTTGGCAGACTCAATATCTTCTATTTTCTTTTCGAATTTTCGATAGTTAAGATGCCCTCTTTGCATTAATGATGTAACTAAATTAACGATTTGAACAAAGTCAGGTAATTCAATTAAGGTGTTTTTATCAAAGCTGTCTGATTTTGTTAATAAAAGAGCTTTGTCACGCAAGTTCGGAATTTCATTTATATCTATAGTCGACGAGGAATGATTCAATGTTACCAAACACTTGTCATTTTTCTCGTCAAACGCAAAGCTGTAAGTTCCATTGAAAGAGGCGTTCTTGATTTTTTCTATAGTATCTTGCTCATGATTTAAAATGTTGCAGTGCATCTCTTGTAATATCGCATTGTTAGAAATACACCATGCAAGTTTGCATGCTAATGTAGAATTCTTCTTAACAATTAGTTGTAATTCGTCCAAAAATTCGTCAGCGGTGACTTTAGGATTATTAATAAGCGGAAATATATTTTTTTTAACGTGAATTAGTGACAACACGGTATCCTCTTGAATTAACATTTCATCAGAATGATCATTAATCAATTTTTTAATATCTTGATCAGGAATTATTTTTAAGAAATTCAAAAAATCCTCGGCAATTGATAGTTCTTTTATCAAATTCCAACAGTTTTGGTCAACCTTATGATAATGTTTGCTTTCAAGGTCTTTAACAAATTGATTTAATTGACCGAGTACCAAGGAATCATATTTTAAAATATCATTTGATTGAAGTTGTATCGAGAAAATTTGGAAAATTTTTTTCAATTGCTCAATTCTTTCTGTCCATTGGGGAAGGTTCACTAGGATTTCAAGAGCATGTAAAAGTGATGAATTTTTGTAAGGACTTAGCTCTGTTAATTTAAATTCATCATGAATATTTTTAATATTCTTCCAAGATAATAATGCTTCAGAGCAACTAACTACTTCCCAACTTTCAAATTTTTTACACATTGCATCATACTTTTTAAAGACGGATGGCATAAATTTTTGTGCTATATCTTCTACATTAATTACGGTAGAATTTTTCTGAAGATAATCTTCATAGATATTTCGAAAGGTTTGAGATCGTTTAAGTCTGTAGCAATGAGCTGCACTGTCCAATGCTTTCTCATGAAATATCCAATAATCCGGTCCTGACACCTGTTTCAACGTGACCTTATTCGAATTTTGCACAAGTTTTTGTATATCATGAATGAAATCATTTGCGTCGGTAACTTGAGGAATCGAACAGAATTCCTTATAAAAATCGGATAATTGAGCGATTCGATCTTTATAATCAAGATATAACTTTCTGAATGGTTTAAATGTTGTAATTTCCCGATCACCTTTTATGGCAGCTTTAAAATGCTGTGATAACATGTCGTCAGAGTATTCCAAAATTTGTTGTAATAATTGCATATCTATCGTCTTTTCTAGGAGCATCCTGTCAAGTTCGACGATAGACGTTTGAACTTGCTGAACCAATGAGTTTGAACGAAGATTCGCATTGCTTCCGGTAGCGCTCAAGATGGTGATCCAAAATTGACTCGATTTGAGAATAGATAAATGCCGTTCTGATATGGGCAATTGGTTTCGTAATATAAACATAATATGACATAAGATATCCTCGCACAACCTAAAAATTTTAAATTTATTTTAGTTTTTTTTTTTGATTTTTTTAAGAAATAAATCAAACAAAAAATTATAAATTTTCAGTATAAACTTACGCGTGTGGCACTTCAAGCGATTTGTCTTTGCAGTCACAGATTAAAAATATCTTGCTCATTAATTGATCATCAGCCTGCTGAATCTCATTGTTCAATATCTCTTTGATAATTTGGGTAAATAATCTATTGACTTCTTTTTCTTGTATCTCAATTATAGATTTTGTCGCACCCAAGATACAAGATTCCGAGTAACCTTTCACCTTATCTAAAGCAATTGTTGATAAATCTCTCCAAATATTGATCCGTTGTTTAAACAAGGGATACATGTGATCTAATTGTTGAAATATCATAAAGACATATTTATTTTCATCTGACAAACTGGTAATTTTAATGGATAAAAGTAATTTGAACCAGTCTTTACAAATGGCAGATATCTTTTTCATTTCAACGTCGGAAAAGCTTTTGATGCTGAGCAAATCATTCAAAAATTCGGGAAAATTATTTGATAATTCCAAATTATGAGTACGAGACATCAATTTCAGGAAAGACATGATATCACTGTGATTCCAGTTTAGATTATCTTGAAGCAAAAGTTTTCGCAGGGCGGAGACATCTGAAATTGTCCAACATTCGTCAAGGTTTTTAAGTAAAGATAAAGCTCGTTTTCGGAAAGTATAAGAAACACGATCTTGGAAATCACATGGAATTTTCGAATAGTTAAATAACAAGTCGTTTGCGTGGTTATTAGAAATGATACTCTGAACTTGATAAATGAAGTATTGAGAGATTTGCTTATTTCTAACGGGGAAGATATCCCAAACCTCAAAAAGAGGTTTAATATTCTCACATTGACGTACCAACCATCGAGTAACTTTCATCGCATTTTCAGGTTTAATACTGCTAATATAAGGTTTAATTTTATCAGCAATTTTGCACAAATCTGAATCGTTATATTTAACATCTTTTAAATTCTCCAAAAAAGAAAATTCCGGATCGATTTCATTGACGATGGTAAGAATTTCGATCCATTTTAATTTTGATTGAAAAGCATTGTGTTGAATCAAGCACGAGATGGCTATAATGATAAAGTTAACGATATCATCGGAACATAATATATCTTTCTTGTAGTCTACGAAAGCATCAATTAAAACATCTGATTTGAAATTTTGCGGTAAATTATATGTAACATGTTCTCTCGAAATGTAAAATCCCAACAAGAGACATAAGAAAAGTCGTTGATCCCTCGATGAGATATCATTGATATTTTTGACTATATAATTGTAATTTGAAAAACCAATTGTAAGATCCTCGTGACTTTTTAATAATTTTATATAATCCTCAACACTCTCACTTAGATTATCAGGTGTGATTTGTTTATAAATGCAATCTACGAAAGCATAATCAGCAATAGATTTAAAATGAAATTTTTTCAAAAGATCATTCCCATTAATCCAGACATCAAATTGGTTCTTTCCATCTAACGAACGTTTTTCAGAGCTTTCGAACAAGACCTTTTCATCTTCCAATTGAAAAATTGAAGACGGAACATGAATAGCGTAATTATAACTTAATTGTAAAATATGAGGTACGTTTGATATAACGATTGATTTAGATTTCCAGTAGGTAGGATTATTATTAGGAAATGGACGAAAAAGTTTTATGATAGGAAGTTTCCATTCTCCTAATTCTTTTCCATTGCCTATAACAATTGGTTGCCCATGTTTTTCAATATCAACCGGTAGATGGACATGAAATGTGACTATTTTATCTTCTATGGGAACGATTTTCTCCATGGGAACGATTTTCTTTTTTTTTTTTCCTTTAAAAAATGTGAAGGTTTTTTTACTACCTATATAGAAAAAAAAAATTCAATATGACCTAAATGATATGTATCATGTGAAAGTAGATTTAAATATTAGTATGGGTAAAAAATTTTCATAGACAATTAAAACTTGTTATTATAGCCTAGCTTACCTTACCACTTACCACTAAACTAAATGTTAATAATATTGTTAAATATATTTATGAATTGACGCTGATTGGGTGGATATTTGAAACCGAAAATTCAAAATAATTCAATTTTCAAACCTGTCTATTGTTTTAAAATTATGTTCGTTTCAAAACCGAAAGCAGGACGTGGTTAAACTAAACTTATGATTAACTTTATTTTGGCTGGAAATAATCAAATCAAAATAAAATTATTGTAAGCTTTGTTTGTTTTGACATATAAGACTTTTTATTAGATAAGAATTTTCCTTTTGGTTAAAATAACTATTTAATAAATAAGGCTTTCATGGGAAAAACATAATAATTTGTTTAGAAATAGGAGGTAAATAGGCGCCATCAATCATCTGAGCAAACTGCAGGGCCCTGCCACAAATGTCTAAAACCGGTAATATGAACAATTCCTAAATAAGGAAATTCATGGAGAATGAATACATTGTCTTTGAAACAAAAATCTCCAATGCATTTTATTAGGTAAACAAAGTACTCTTGTTAACAATTTTAAACGCATCGGCTCAAAAGGTTTCATTAAAGGAGAACAAGGATGTGTTGTAAAATGTGAATTTTCTTATAAATACACCATTTGTTGACAATTCGAATTTTCTTTGACCACGCTGGATTCCACGTCGTCCACCAAAAAAAAAACCTTCCCCGAAGCTAAATATCCCAATTCTCTAAAAGATCATTTTTATTTTTATTTCTTTTTCTTAATCATTACAATCAAACACAGCGGGACTGTGAAAAATAATCATTCCTTTCCTTTCTATAAAAAAAAATAATTTTTTTAATTTACAGTCCGCTAAATTCATCAAAATGTCGGAAAAACCATCTCAAATACAAAAAAAAATACAAGAAAATGTACGAGAAACCTTAAAAGACAAGTTGAGACTCGTTACCATAAGTTTAATATTATTGTCCACCATATTCTATATGACCATGTTGATTGGTGGGTCAACTGGAAGCGTATATGTCAATGAGTTTAAATTTGACAAAGGGATAAGCGACTTGATACAAAGAAAAAGTATAAAATTTACTTTGCTTGGATATTGTATCGATAACGTTTGTACGAAAGAGGTTTCCCATGATTTCGACAAAGGTAAATCTTATAAAATGTATCACGTGATTTCACTAATTGCGAATTGAATTTCTAAGTTTATCTGTTTGTTTTATTTAGCACCGAGTTCGAAAGAGATCCAATCCGGGGAGATTCAAAAACGGTCGATTCATAAATATGCCATTCGTGACTTTAACCCCGTTGAGATCGGTAACGATGTAGGCGACGTTGCAAAAGATGTGGGAAAAGGTGCCGAAGATGTTGGTAAAAAGGTAGGTGATGCTGCCAAAGACGTTGACGTTGAAGAAACCGTAAATGAAATCGGCGAGAAAGCGGGGGAAATTGGGGAAAAGGCCGGCGATTTGGTCGAACAGGTTGCTAGAGAGGCATTAAAAAAATTATTGGAAGCTTTCGATAATTTCAAACCCAAGGAATCCACCAATGGTATATCTGGATGGTTGGCAAAACCGATTATTGCTGCGGCGGTATTTAATTTTGTGGCTTTGCTTTTATTAGTATTTGTTGATAAGAATAATGCCACATTTTACTACTCTTTAGCAATCTTGTTATTATTCCTATCAATAATACTTAACTTAGCCTCATTGATAACTACGTCAATGCTCTTCACTTTAGTTTTTAGTATTATTGGTGCTTTTCCTGGCATTGGAGATAATAATAATGGACCTGTAAATGCCTTATCAATAGGTAGTCTTATCTGTTTACTTGTAGCCCTCATTTTTACATTCATTCGATGTTGTAGTGACGTTGGTAAAAAGGCATTTAAGGAAAATAATTCCAACGTTTAATTCGTTTTTTGTAATTTTTCTTGTTTGTTTGTAATTTTAATAATTTGTTGTAATGGTTAGAAAGAAAAATAAAAATAAAAATAATTGGGATATTTAATTTTAACGTTGCTTTCAAAATACAAAAAAAATAAAAAATAAAAGAACAAATTGGATTTCACTTAAACAAATACATTCATTCAAATTCTTCTGTCGCACACAATTTTACCATGAAAGTGGATTTTTTGTTCTACACAGTAATGCCAAGCTGCAATGAATTAAAATCTTTTAGAAATACTAAGACTTGGTTATGCTGTAAAGAATATTAGGCAGTCACGTATTATATTCCATTACGGTATCGCACTAGTTTTGCATATCAGATAAGGAATTGAATTATAATACACAATGAAATTTCCGGGTCAGCATAATATGAGGGCTGCAGGAAGAGATTTTTTTATAAAGTCGAATAAAAAGTTTGACCAAGCGAAGCGTAGCAAGCAATACTTTTTTTAATTGGTAAATATAAATATAGTTTTTTATTTATTTTTTTTTTTGCTTTTCGGTTTAATATATTATATTTTTATTTTTTGCTTTTCATCTAAAAAATTTTCGCTAGTGTCAATAATAAATATAAAAGGTATATTTATTTTCGTTTTTATCTTTTTAACCTTTTATTTAATTTATTTTCTTAATTTTTTTTTTTTTTTTTTTTAGGATAATTTATTTTTTTAGATGTTTTTTCACGTGCAATGGACCGCTTCTTTTATTGTTCTCAATTAAATAATTTTTTTATAATAGCAATGTGAAATACTTTAACTGCGCATAATTTAATCGCACGATCAAATTTGCCATGATGACAAATCGTTTGCGGCGAAGAATTTTATTAAATTTTATTTTTTCTTATGGATTTATAAAAGCGATTTTTTATTGTTATTATTTATCTTCTGAATTTCCAAGAATAGAGTGTAAAATGAAAAAAAATAAATAAAATCGGAATTACTGAAAACGGAAGAAAAGAATAATTTAAAATTTTTTAAGCTATTTTTTTTTTTTTGCAATGCTAAAATATTGAAATTTCTGTTTCAAATAAATTTACAACTATAAAATAATATTTCTAAAAATTATATATTATTTTTTTAAATATGAATTCAATCATTCATTGAAGCTTTTGAAGATTTAGATTTAACTGAAATTCAGATCTCAATTTAGAAATTGAATTGATATCTGTTATGATATACTTCTATTAATATAAATCGTTTAAACCAACAATTCAACCAAAATCAGATCAGTGGTATTCTAATATTTTATTTAATTATGATAATATAAGGTTTAAGAGAACTTTAAGAATGAAACAGTCAACATTTTGGATAAGAGTTAATAGAATTAAAGATCATGAAAATTTTAAAGATATTCCTCAAAACGGACAATTTCCAGTAAAAAAACAACTTGCAGTAGTCTTATATAGATTAGGTGGAAAAGCAACACATTTGTTCTAAATTTGGAATAACAGAGGATACTGTTCCTTTATTTACTTCAAAAATAGTTGAAACTTTAAAATCTTTGAAAAATAAAACTATTATTTTGTCACTGAAGAATATCGACAAAAAGTTCATAAGGGTTTTGAAAGTATTTATTGGTTTCCTTATATAATTGGCACATTAGATGTCTATTTAAAGCTCCTAGTAAGCAAAATAAAGATGTATATTTTACATGAAAACGCCATTATACAATTCATCTTCAAGCTATTATAAATCATCAAGGAATGTTTATCAATTATAATATTAGATATCCAATATCAGTTTATGATGTAAAAGTATTTAAAAATTCTAGTTTATATCATTATAGAAATCAACTTTTTAAAGAAACAGATTATGTATTAACAGACTCAGCATATTCTATTTCTCTAAATATTATTATTATATAGGAATATTTTTAATGCAAAATATTATATAAGATTTACAGTTCGTAAATTTATGAGAGTTTACGTAAATTTTACATTTTGATGTAGATTTATAAGATTTATGATCTGTGGCATTTACGCTATACTACGGTCAAAATACTTAAAAGATTTATGGTCTATAAAATTTGCATAATATTATAATCGCAAGTTTATGATATGTAATTATTAAACCATTTAAGAAAATTTTAAGCATTGAAAAAAATTTTAATTATGATCACCAGATTTAAGTTTATTAAGTAATAATAATATAAAGTAAATATTAGTTTATAGACTTTTTTTTTCATTTAGTGATAATAATAACCTTGAAGAAGAAAATACTGTAAAAATATTTTCTGTATTACTACTTAGAAACGTATAATATAATAGTGATATATTGTTTTATATATCTATATTATCAATAATGTTTCAAAATCGACATAAATTAATTCAAATAACCTATTATTATCCCTTAGATTATAAGGTTTTGCAAGCAAATTTGCCTGCATATTTACTTAAATTCTCTTTAGATTTACTTTTATAAATAATTAATATATTTAAGAAATTTTTTTTAAATTAATTATATAAATATATAATCTATTATAATAAGTTTTATCTTTTATTATATAATAAAAAATGTAATATTACTTAAAAGTTAAAAATTTGTAATTTTTAAAAAAAAATTATTTTAAAAAATTTTATGATTAACCTATGATAAACTTTTTAAAATTTAATTTTAAATATATTAATTATAATAGAATATTATAAAATTATTTATAAAAAAAACTTTAATTATTATAATTTTTATAATTTATTAAAAAATTTTATGACTTTAATTGATGATAAAGTGATTTAATTAGTATGCAAACATATAAATTATTAAAGAACTTTTAAAAAATTATTATCCTTTCAATAGTTTTCCTTCTAAATTTAGAAGGAATTTTACTTTAATTTTAAATATAATAAAAATTAGTTATTAAACCAATAATATTTTTATAATAAAATTTATAATGTTTTTTAAGTAAAATCAAAAAAATATTTTATATTAATTAGTAACTTTTTACATTAATTTAAGATCAAAGTTTAAAAAATTTTTAATAATATTATTTTCTTTATAAAAGCTAAAATTTTATAATTTTTAATTATCTTTATATTATTAAAATAACTTTATAAAATACATCAGGAAAATTTTTATAGCGAAGTACTTTGAAAAATTTACAATTTGTATATATTTTGAAATACCTCACCATAATCCTCCGTAATAACTACGTTTTCATCGAAATACATTATTTCTACTATATTTTCTGTTCCCTTCATTATATTATATTTTCTGTTTCTTCATAATTGTATTAATTTTCATTTCATTTCAGATAGTTTTAATAATTACGCTCAATGGTAAAATGAGATATCTTTGGATTTAACATCATTTTGACTGATACTTTTGTATAAACAACTTGAGTAAGAAATATTGTTCAGTGTGGTGGTTTCTAAGTTTTGGAAGTTAAAAAAAAAATATTAAAAATAATAAGTTATAAAATTACGTTATTTAATATAATATTTAATAATATTTAATATAAAAGATCTTAAACGTAAAATATGTAAATAATAATTGTTGAAGATGTACCCTTACACTTTAGTCCACTCATCACCACTTAAAAGGTGTGTTAAACCATCATTAGGATTAAACTTTTAAATGCTTTTTTAGCTGTCACTACCTAAAAATATTAAACTAATTTAATAAACATACTAACTTTTTGGTTATTTATTGAAAACTTCCAGAAAATTATTTTATTTATTAATAACTTTTAAATAATGTATTTATACTATACTGCCTGTTGTAAAAGTAGTTTCGATATGTGAAAAAAAAAAAAAAATAAAAAAGGGTTTTTATATAAACTCATGATTCAAATTAGTATTACGTAATTTGTAGATCATGTAACTTTCTCAATTTATCATAATTTTACGATTGTTATTATAAATTGTTATTTTATCAATATATCATGATTATTATTATGAATTGTTATTATGAATTACAAAAATATACAGTATAAAAGATTAAAATTCATCTTAATTGTATGTAACTTTCAATGTTAGGTTTAAAAAGAATTTTCTTTTATAATTTTATATAATAAACTGTAATATATATAACGTGATAGTTAAAAAATAAATATTATTAAAATAAACTATAATTGCCGCTTTTGTTCCCGAATACTTAGTAAACGTTCAGCATATAGTCAACATGTTTTAGTATACTTACAAAGGGTAGAAACAAATAAAGAGAGCGATTCTAATGATAAAATTCAAGACATTGATAATATTTCTCTTAAAAGTGATGATCTTTCTATGAATTATATAGACAATGAGGTATAAAATCATAAATTTAAAAAATTTTAAAATTTTATGTCTGCTAATTACAAACTTATTATATTAGATGAAATATGAGAGTTTTCATGAGAATGAAATTTCAAATGAAAATATGTTGAGGATTTTGAAAACTTATTAGAATCTGAAGATTTATTAGAAAATTCTGAAGATATATTCAAACACGAAGAGTCTAAGGATGTATTAGGTTCTGAAGATTCATTAGAATTAGAACCCGAAGACAAATTAAAAAAATCCGAAAATCATATAGAATTTCCAAATGAAGCCTATGCAGATTTGAGGGTATTAGTGATACAACATAAATTAAACAACAAAACTAGAAATGTAATTATAAAGTTTTTTAATAAACATTCCAACCTTACAACATCACCTTTACCAAAAAACATCAAAAGAGAATGAGAATTTATGGATAATATGACGTTTGCTAATTTGAAATTTAAAAAAACTTTAATAACAAATTATAATGATAATGAATATTTTCTTTATCATCGAGATTTAATATCTTGTGTT